CACATCACACTAAGCCACTAAGTGTCATTTATTTGCATCTATTTGCCATTCGGACGTCTCAAAGCGAACCTAAGGCCCCAACGACACTCTGCCAAGTTTCCAAGTCCAATATGCAACCTTCCAGGGTGCCTGACACATCTGACGCTTAGATCCAACAAAAAACCCGAATAGGCTGCTGGGAGCTCGCCCCCTCAGGCTGCTCTTTATACCCTTTCATTCAAGGTTTCATCACTGTCAACCCTCAACGAATTCACAAGTTGCATCTGTCATTGCCCTGCGTCGCCTCCGCGGCATTTAGTCATGAAGATAAAGGCCTCCGCAGGTTTCATAGCCATTCATGGCCGGGAGCACTGGACTGGCGCCAAAAGTGTTCATTACCTGCGGCACTGTGGCTCTCATCCTGATCACATCGGCAACTCGAAACGATACCCTGAGGCCCAACACGTTGGTCGATAGTTGCAGCGCCGAGGCATCGAATGATCTCCTGCGTCACTGCATATGTCATTCCACCAGGTGGTTGGCCACTTGTGAAAATCAACGCGTTTCTTTTCCTTGCAGCTATTTCTGACGTCAGCCGAAGAAACCAGGCCTAATGCGCCTAACAAAGAAAAGTTTCAGTCTGGGGACACGGCGTTCGCTGTCTCCTTCATCGCTGCATTCGCGCCAACCTTCAGACGAAAACACAGCTCCGAAGCATCCGTCGCCGACAAGCCCCCGCGTGGCCGCGGTGAACACCTGGTCGGCCTGCAAAATATTTAGCTAGCAACATCTAGTTACTAGTTACTTGACTCTTTGCTAGCAAGTCGGCCGGCTCAGGATCTTGTCGAAAATCAATCTTTCGATTGATTTTTACAACATTGACGAATGTTGGATTGAAGTCAAAATCAATAGAATTGCTTTTTGGTAAAGCAAGTCTTCTGTTGAGTTTGAAGCAATTTTTCGATTGACTTTAAGAACATGTTTGGACAGCCGCCACAGGCTCCTGCAAACAGCCCTACCGAGCCTGCGCAGCCATGTCAGGCTCCAAGCCCACCCAACCAGCAATCTGCGCCCAAGGCAGCAGAAGGAACACCTGCATCACCACCACCAACATCACCACCATCATCGCTACACCCACCACCACCGCAATCACCACCACCATCTCCACCACCATCACCACCCCCACGACCACCCCACCGCCACCACTCCCGCCGCGCCACCACCACCACCACCACCAGCGCAGCAGCAGCACCACCAGCACGCCACCACCATCACCAACACCACCATCACCATGCCAAAACCTAAGTTCCAATCACCATATAAAGAGCCCCTTGCGCTCGCCCTCGCGCCTGCTTGCGCACTCACATTTTCTGTTGTTTGACAACGGTTATGCTCAAGGCCCTGTCAGGCTGCTTTTTTCAAATCTTCGCGGGACTTCCGCTTCTGCCAGTGGCTCCAAAGTTTCCTTTAGCGTTTACATCAGCAAATCCCGGATGCCACTTCGAAGGCCACGGACATGTTTAGCAGTCAAAGATCCATCGCCTGAAGGCTGCTCCTGTGGTTTTCTCATTGGTTTACGCAGCTTCCACTTGTTGAAGTTTTCCAATTTCACGGCCAAAGCCAAAATTCTAACGGAAATCTAGGATACTTGAAGAACATTGCTGCAGTCCAACCTGGGCCTTTGCCAAATAGCTACGAAATGATAGAATCTCCAAAGTTGTGGTCGACTCTCCTTTTTCACCACAATCACCATCACTACCCATCTCTCTGTGGAGCCTCCAGGCCTGCTTCTACACCTCTGGACCTTAGACCTTTAGACACACTGTTTGGGGTGTCTTGCCGGAATGGCCGACCACCCGTTGCTCGGCTCTGCGCGGCCGAATACGGCGTCCGGAACAATCTGCACAACACAGTCGTGGAGTGTTGTGTGGTCGACGGTGTCAACAAAAGCGGCAGCCTTGTTAATGCCTGTTGACACGTGGGGGCAGGGGCCATGAAGTCCTGAGTTTTCAAAGTTGGCCGGATACTTTAGGCGACGACCCAAAACATGGTCCATTTACTTCCGGGGCCTGTGCTCGATGCCACCACCGCTTTAACTGGTCTGGTTTTAGCAGGTGGCTAGAGTCGCTTGTGCATTTTCATGCTGTTTTTAAAATTGTTTTGTTGAACGCTAAAATGGGCAGAAAATGGTCAGAAAAAATTGAACTTTCAAGACCGGACCAGAGTTTGAAACATTTAAATGTCAAAGTTTGCAGAAAAGTAATGAGAAGTTCATTTTGCGAGCAGCCCCTCCCCGCTGCTCACGGTGATGCCCTCCTTCCAGCTAAGTTGGCATCTCCCTTTTTAAATTGGAGGCAGCGCAGCTACTCCTGCCACCCAGTAGGTGTAAGGAGGCCACAGGCTTCCCCAATTTTGCCAAACCCAATGTGAATGGAAAAATTGCATCCTGCGCAGAATGACTTGTTACCATGAAAGGGCCCAAGTCCAAATGTTGGTTGGAAGAGGCTGT